CAGCATCAACACCGACTTCTTCGTCTGCCGCTCAGCCACCGCCAGCCACTGCACGAACACCGGCAACGCATCTGACTTCTTGGTGACCGGCTTCACCCACACGTAGCGGGTCGCCGCGAAGTGCAACGAGCCGACCTTCTCCGGTACTGCTCTTCCTGGCGTTCCTGCGCCTCCTCGTCGTCGAAGGTGAGCTCGGCGTAGGCGTCGACCGAGACCGGCGTCTTCGGGGTGCGCCCGGTCTGCTCCTCGTCGATGAAGCGCCTACGCAGCTTGTCGGTGTAGCCCTGCTGGTGCAGCCACAGCTTCCCCGCCGACCTGTCGCGCATGATCTCCAGCCCGAGGTACTTCTGCACCGGCGAGATCTCGCGCAGCTCGAAGGCGGCTTCCAGCAGCTCCTTCAGCTCCTTCAGCATCGCGGCGCTGCTGCTGGCAGCAAGTAGGTCGTCGACGTAGACCAGCACCCAGCAGTGCCTACGGCAACGTGGGACTGTCTCTGGGAAACAACTGCCCCGCAAGCAACCCCAACTGCACAGATGCTCCACCCTACAGCTTCTCAGGTAGATTTTCCACCTGACAGCTTTCAGGTGAATTTCTACCTGATGAACCTTGGGGTACATGCTCCGCCCTAGCTTCTCAGGAAGGCGCACTGCCTGACATCTTCTCATGCTGCTGCTGGGGATGCTGCTACGCTGTTGCTGTTGCTGATGGTGCTGCTGCAGGTGATGCTGATAAGGGGCAATGTTAAAGGGTGCGTGTGCTTGTCTTGACCATGCTCCCGCTCCGCGTTTCCCCTCCGCTCAATGCTGCAAGTATGTGCTAGGCGCTCTCGAGATTCATAATGGCTCCTCTCTTCTCCCTCCTGCTCTATTCTCATCAGCCCTGCCAACATGTGCTAGGGGCTGTTTAAAATGACAGTGACCCTGCTCCTCCTCTGCCTTTCCTCAACCCAACCCTGCAGGCACGTGGTCAGTACTCTCTAAGCTAATAGTCATCCTCGTGATGCTGCTCGGGCGGCACAGAGGGCTGCCAGACAACATTGATGCCGCCATCTGCATTCCGCCGCCCAAGCAGTTCCAGCGCCAGCCTGGCCGACCAATCAAAGGTGGCGCGCAATGATTCTTCCCCCCCTTTCCTGCCTTGTCCTACAGATGCTAGCCTTTTCATTCCAATATGCAGAGGATCCCTCCCTCTTGCTCGCTCGAGCGCCTCTTGAGACGCCTCAAGATTTAACCCCAACCCACCGTTTCCTGCCTGGTATCACAGAGCACCCCACTGTCTTTTTCCCAACCCACTCACGTATGCGCCTTCTAAGGTCTCTCCAGACCTGTCCTGGTCCTCGTTCTTCTCCCCACCGCTGCTTTTCCTGCCGTGTATCACACACAAGGGATCTCGCTGTTGTATCAGAAGTTGTTCTCCCTCCCCTCCCTGTTTGACTGTCCTCTTTCCTGCCTTGTTGTGTCGCAGAGGATCCAGCTGTGCTGCTTACGCGGGCGCTCACGATGACCAAGTCTCAGCCCAGCTCTCTCATTCGCCGCATCTCCTCGTACGTAGCCTTTGTACTGGTCTGTGTGTGCAACGTGTGTTTAGGGTCGACCGAGATACGCCTTGAATCAACTCAAAATCTACAGCAGCCCAGCTCTCTCATGTGCCGCCTCTCTCCTAATGCATCGGCCTTGCACAAGTGTGTGCCCTGCCTCTCGTATTTAGCCCTCACACAGGTGAATCTGTGTGTCTCATTGCAAACCTCTCGTGCTGTATTCTGGAATACTCACCCTAATTGGGATCGCATCTCTGTCCCGTTGCACCCTTTCCTGTCGTGCTTTACGTGTTCAGCGCCTGCTTTCCTATGTGTACATGTGTTCCCTGCCAAAGCCTTTTCGGGGTCAAGTCCCTTAGTTCCAGCTTTCAGACCCTCAAGAATACACACACATGGACTACATTCTAAACTAATTCATCCATGCAATGTTTTGTTTGCAGGCTGCATGCTGCTCAGCCAACTGTTGGAGCCGTGCATTATTCAGTATGCTCCTCCATCCCTTCAAAAGCACAGTACCAGGTCCACACAAGCTAGATCTAATTTATACATTCAACCTTTGCAAGGTCGAGCCATGCTGCTGCCCTCAGTGGCCCCCCTCCACCCCTCGAGAAGTGCCCCACTGGTCTTACATCAGCTAGGTATAGCATATGCATTGTGCGGAGCTCGTTGCTCCATAGAGCCAGTTGAGATGTTGCAGTTATGTAGCTGTGAGTTTGTTGCTGAAAAAATAAGATACCATCGAGCAATTAACAAGTCCATCCAGCAGCATTTTTCCTGCTTTTGGACTCCAAACCAAGGTTTTGATGTCTTAGTATCCATATAACACATTGACATCACACTATGCATACTTCAACAAAAATATGGTTTGGCTGCCGGATTTGAAGACACTAGAGGAGCCAAGTGTAGTCCAGTCTGAAAACGGTGAACCCAATTGACAAGGGCAATCGCATCAAACAAAAATTTGATCACATGAGAGCACGAGGTCCTCCGTGTGCCACCTAACCGCCTCACCTTCCCAGTGGATCCTTTCCAACGTGGAAAGTTGCCATGCCAGTCCTTACCACCAGCCAACCTTCAACCTTCGGTGAGGCTTGATGCTCTCACAGCTGCCCTTGGAACCATGGAAACTGATTGGCAGAACCTCGATCTTGTAGACATCTTTGAACAAGTGTAGATTGGGCTACGTGAAGGTGTTTCTCGCCCACCTTCTTCCCGTTGCCCGTTTTAAATTCTGACCCCCTTGGCCACCTGGTTTGTCTCAGATTCACTGTTGCTTGCTGATGGCCGCTGGCCTGCTTTGGCGCGCATGCTGCATCCTTCTAGATTCTTGAAGTCTTGAGATTCAGGACAGGACATCTCGAGCAACAACTCCATTTGAGCTAGTGGGTGGTCGTTACTAATCATGCAGTCGCCGCATTTGTTTTCTACGGCGTGGAACCCTTTAACATATGGTGTTTTGAGTGTTAAGAGTGTGTCAATGTGTGTCTAGATTCTGGCAGGGCCGACTGAAAGAATCTCACATCAGTTACAACGTTTAGAGGCTGAAGTACCAAGATTTCCGCTTCTAGTAGAAATTTAGTGGAAATACCACCGATGAGAATCACTGTGCTCGTACATTTTTGCGTTTCGCATTGTTCGCTGTGCGGTTGCACTGTAGCCATAATCTTGTTCCTATGTCAACTGCGCTTACAGTATTTATGACGCGCCGAAGGCTCCAATCAACCATTCGAGTTCGCCGCAGGCGGTTTGCTTTGCGGCACGCGGAACAAGCATATGCTCGCGGACATGCTGTGCAGCTGCTGGCGCACAATCTTGTTTGCGCATATGCTGTGGATGGAGGAGACCTAGATCAGGGGAAAGCCCGGATGCAGCTGTACAATCGTGTACAGTCACGTGGCTTTTGGTATTCCATCTAAAAACTCTTCTAGTATTTCAACTACGAGGACGAAGGTACAAAACTCATCTAGTTTTTCAACCCGCGTGTGCTTCTGGGGGAGCCGAGTTCTGCAAATCAGGTACCGACGCACGACCCGCTGTGGACAGGGTCCCAGAACTTGGTGTAGTACAAGCATTCTATCAGACAACTATTTAGCCCGTGGAGTTCAGGGTGTCTGCTCAGTTGATCCTTCCAGTACTAGGAGCGTTTCGAGTACCAAATCATTCACCCGGCTGGGGGCGTTTCGGGTGGGTGCCCCTAACACTGTACCCCAAAATCCGCCCCGAATTCCAGTGGCTGCCTGTCCAATTTCTTCCCGTTGTCTGACTTTGGCTTCATTTTCCATTCGAAGCGCGTGCTCACATCACAGCCCTGCCCTCGCCTTCTGTCCACCAAACCCATTCCTCGAAGCATGTGCGGTGGTTGACAGGCGGGTGATACAGACGCTGCACAGGTCTTGTGCTCACTGTATTGTGGAGATTTGAGCTGCTTTCACCACGTTATGGCAATCGCGTCCATGCCCTAATTGAAGACTGTCACCTGCCTATCCTTCCAGTCCATTACGTGGACGGTTTACTCAACTCAAAGCACGTTGTCGCACCATTTCTCTCTACTTACTCAGCCAGGACAAAACATCGTGAATACAACACAACACGCCGCCAAACGTGTGCAGCCTCGATGCCCCAGCTCACATTACTTGCCTCTCGTTGTCCACCCACGAGCTATCACATATCCTCCAATTCCCGGTCGTCTCAACTTTCCATAAAACCATATCGGCGATCGGCCGCTTTCAATCTGATTTCTATTTCTGAGCTTGCCGCAACTTTACCGTCGCACCTTAGCAGAGCGATTTTACCCGTCAATGGCCGCAATGGTAGCCGTTCCCCGAGCAGCTCCTCTCCGGAGCCCCCACAGCCCTCCTCAGCCGAACCTTTCGCCAATGTCCGACCATGCTTTCGAGGAAATTCCCTCTATGCCGCGCCGCAGCCTAACGGTCCAGATCCCCGACCCCGAAAGCGAAGAGATCGGCGCCGAGCCGCCGAGACCTATCGAGTGGATCCCGGCGGGCGACGCCGTCTGCGACGACGACGACGACGATTACGACGACGAAATCTGGGACATCGACATTTCGCGTACGAGCACTGGGGGGACCCGTTACAGTGCGCCTCCTTATTGTAACGGCGGGTACCAGGACCCGCAAGTGCTGCTGTTGGGCCTCCGCGCGGGAGCGGACTGTCCGCCCAACTCCCACAGCGGTCCCCAGCCGTGCACGGGCGCAATTCACGGAAGCTCGAGGTTTCTCAAAGCGCAGGCCAGCTGCCCGTCCGTACCTGATCGGAACGTTGCCTCGCAATTTCGAGGAAATGAGGATGATGAGGGGGAAGAGGAGTGGGATCAGGACAGGGAAGGCGATGAGCAATCCCCCGACGCGGGAATAACGGCGTCCGAGATTTCCGCGCGATTGAAGCTACTCGAGGTAGAGCTGCAAATCCTGGAAACGCACCGCCGAGTCGCGGTGCTACGCTGTCAGCGCGAAGTCAACGGCGCAGCGGAGAATAGCTCCGGTGCGGACAGGTCATCCGCCTCCGCGGCAACCACCGCCTGCGCCAGCGGAGCCGCGGACTCTGCTGCTGCGCCTGCGGGAAGCAGAGCCGCCAGTGTCTGCGCCACTAGCAGCGCGGGAAATTCCGGAAACAATTCCGCGAGCTCGTCCCGCGCGTCCTCGCGGTCGGAGTCCCCCCTCCGGCTGGGCAGGTGGCGGCGCAGCCGGCGGTCTAGCAGCGGAAGCAGCAGCCTGGCGCAAAGCAGCGGAACTAGCAGCTCGGGGGGCAGCACCAGGAGCGGACTGAGTTCGGGGAGGCGGAGCTTGGAATGGGAGAGCCTGCGGGGCTCGGACAAAGAGAAGGCCGCCGCGAGAAAATCTTTGGACATTGCTAACGTGGCGAGTTTGGTGGAGGGTGATGAAGATTACGCATGTGGGGAGGACTGCTTGGAGGTAGAGAGTGACTGTGAGGAGGGACTGCAGCTGAGCCCGCAATTCCGGGGGTGCATGATGAGAGTGGCTTGTCGAGCACCACGCGGTGCGTGTTTTCCCGTGGCGGTGAAAGGCCACGGTGTGATTGCTGCGCTGCGGAAGCATCATCACAATTAATTGCATATAGTGTTGACTTAGGTGTTCTATAGGTTACAGGAGAAATAGTAAATTAGTGGAACCAAGCTTTCATCCTTGTAAAATACTGACGCAGTAATGTGTTTTTTTATTAATGTAAGAATTGCATTTCATCGCCCTCTCTGTTCTGACTTCTGCATTGAATGACAAAGAGGGGAGAAAGCAAAAGCGAGTCATCAGGTTTGCTTCAGTGAAGCAGCCAATTCGAACTCCCCTTTGGAAAACTGCCACGTAGGTCTCCGCCAGCTCAAACTCCAAGATCCGCGCAATTTACGACCACTCACAGCTCATATCGACCGCCACGTAAAGGGCGGGAACCACGGCGGCGCACCCATCAACACCAAACACACATCACGCGAATAAACTCCTGCGCCACTACACATGATGCCCAGCCACTGCGCGCGAATTTGCCTTTTCCATTTCAGAAACTCTGCACCCGTATTTTTTTTCTAGTCAGTTGCACCCAGGTTATAGGCACGCAGATCAAGTTGCATTTGGGCGAGAATACGCCTAAGTATGAATCTTAGGCGCAAAACAAACCATGCTGACCCGGTTTGTTCTTGTTTCTTGGCCAGAAATAAGCATAAACCCTAAACCCGAAACTAACAACAACACAGGCCCACCAGAACTGTTTTGGAAAAAACAAATGAGTCACAACCTGTGTTTTTTAGAAGCAGCTCAAAACCCCGGCGAGACGGAAAGAACTGGGCGAAATGCCCAAAACGTTTTTAAGTCCAAAGCACAACCTAAGTAGGGGGGGCTCAAACGGGCATCAGGTGTACAGTGACGAATGCGCGGTCGCGTGCGCAGCTTCTCGGGGGAGGCAGGCGGAACAAGGTCAGCGCCACCGTGACCACATCAATACAGATTTCCCCCTGACAACCCGCCGAAGGTCTGGTCTGGTCTGGTCTCCCTAGGTCCGCCTGCTCGCTCTCCCAAGTTGCGCCTACCTGCGCCCCGCCACCACAGCGGAGCAGAAGGGCAGAGAGCTTGGGCTTCAGCGGGGAGGGGAGTCTCCGCTCCGCCCCGACCTGACTCACACACATCACATTTCGCCCTCACGAGCATTCAAGGCGGGATCAGCACGAGACACCAGAAATCTGCAGAAAATAGGCATTTTTGCGGCAAAATTGGTCCTGAAAGGTTTGTACTGCCAGAAACCTTGTTAGGGTCGCGCATACGTTAGAAAGTCTGCGCCTTGGACGCCACTTGTGCTTGTAAAGTCTCCTCTGTTGCAGCATGGCGACGGCGGTGATCCAGCCGCATTGCCATGCGGCTGTCTCCAGCGCGTCGCGCACGCGACTGGCGAAGTCCTCCTCGTCGCAGCCGTCGCATCTAAAATCGTCGATCTATGGCCGGCCCGTCGCGGCCAGCGCGTACCTCCAGTCGCACGCCGCGATCGTCGCAGCCTCGCCGATCGCAACCTCTCCTTCCTCCGCGATCCGCAACCGCCGCCAGAAGCGCCGCGCCGTCATCTCCGCAGCGGCGGGCGACGGCGGGGAAGGTGTGCCGGCGCCGGCGCCAGTGCCGGTGAAGGCGGCGCCAGTGGCGGCTCCATGGAAGGGCGCGAACATGAAGACGCTGGGAATATCGGTGGCGACGGGCGTCGCGATGTGGTACTGCCCGCGACCCGAAGGCGTCGCGGCTAACGCGTGGCAGCTTCTGGCGATCTTCCTCGCTACGATCATCGGCATCATCACTCAGGTATGCCCACACGCTGCATCGTGCTCTCTTGCCGCAATGTGCGCTCTCGCCGCGATGCGCTCTCTCGCCGCAATGTGCGCTCTCGCCGCGATGCGCTCTCTCGCCGCAATGTGCGCTCTCGCCGTGATGCGCTCTCTCGCCGCAATGTGCACTCTCGCCGCGATGCGCGCTCGCGCCGCAATGTGCCTTCTATAGCAGGAACGTCCGCTTCTGCCGCAATATTGTGCGCTTTCGCTGTGATGAAAAGGGGCAGCCGTCCATCCAAGCTTGTACGAAACGCCTGGCAGACCTACTTCAAAACATTCAACGCTGTAATACATACTATGTGCACACATTATGCAATGTCTTCACTTTTCTCTCCTCTTCCCTCGCCCTTCCCCCTTTCCCCCTCCTCCCCCCTCTCCCCCCTCTGTTCCGCCCAGCCGTTGCCTCTGGGAGCGGTTGCGCTCATGGGTCTGGGCGTGAGCGTGCTCACGAAGACGCTCACCTTCGCTGCTGCTTTCAGGTAACATTGTGTAACACTGCAACATTCATAGACATTGTATTAGAGCGGCTTTTTAACCGTGTAGCCCTGTATCATTGTTGGCTTATAGCACTCGTCGCTTGCGCGTACTTATTTACGAAAATGTACCCCTTAACCTCCCTTTCCCCGCCCCCCTCCCCCACCTCCCGCTTCGTTCCACCCTTCCTCTTTTCCACCCACTCCCCCCGTCCCTTCCCCCACTCCTTCGGCGATCCAATCGTTTGATTCATCACACTTCCCCATTCTACTTCCCCCTTCCTCTTCCCCTCCCCCCCCCCCCTCTCCCACCCCGACATTCCGCAGCTCTTTCGGCGATCCCATCCCGTTGCCCATCGCGCTCGCATTCTTCTTTCCCCCCAACCTTCCCCCCTCTCACACCCCCCTCCCCCCACCCCACCCCCCCCCACTTCCGCAGCTCCTTCGGCGATCCCATCCCGTGGCTCATCGCGCTCGCATTTTTTTTCGCCAAGGGCTTCATCAACACGGGTCTCGGCAACCGCGTTGGTTACCAGTTCGTCGCCGCTTTCGGCAGCACGTCGCTCGGCCTGGGTTACAGCCTCGTGCTCTCGGAGGCCATGCTCGCGCCCGCCATCCCCTCGGTCTCCGCGCGCGCGGGCGGGATCTTCCTTCCGCTGCTCAAGGCGCTGTGCCAGGCGTGCGGAAGCCGCACGGACGACGGCACCGAAAAGAAGCTCGGAGCATGGCTCGTGTTGACGTGCTTCCAGGTGGGTTCACCAGATGCCTTGTTTGATTGAACCGTCTCAATGGGCGTGCGGAAGCCGCACGGACGATGGCACCGAAAAGAAGCTCGGCGCGTGGCACGTGCTCACCTGCTTCCAGGTAGCTTCCTCCATCCGTGCTGTTTAAAATGTACGTGTAAGAATCCTTTCTTCCGAGCATTCCTCCCCCTTTCACCTTTCCCCCACGGACAATGTTCATACACGTACATTTTAACCAACACGATGGGAGGTGAAATGGTGAGGAGAGACCCAGCATTCCCAGGACTCTCCTCCCCCTTTCACCTCCCATCCCCCACTTCCCTTCCCCTTCATCCTTCCCCCTCCCGCAACCGCCCTTCCTCTTCCCCCGTTCCCCCACCCAACTTCCCCCGCGCCTCCTCCCGGCGTCCATAGTCTCCTGTTCCTGACGGGCATAACGGCGAACCCGCTCGTTTACGGTGCTCCATTCATAGCATCTGCTCACCTTTCCCCTTACCCCCCCCCCCCCCCCCCCCCCCCCCCCTCTCCCTCTTCCCCTCCCCCAGACGTCCATCGTGTCGTCCGCCATGTTCCTCACCGGCATGGCGGCGAACCCGCTCGCCGTGAATCTCGCAGCGGGCGCCATCGGCCACACGATCGGCTGGACGGAGTGGGCCAAGGCGGCGCTGGTGCCCGGACTCATCTCGCTCGCCGTCGTTCCCGCGCTGCTCTACGTCATCTACCCGCCGGAGATTAAGGCCAGCCCCGACGCGCCTAAGCTCGCGCGCGAGAAGCTCGCGGCCATGGGGCCGATGAGCACTAATGAGAAGATCATGGCGGGCGTGCTGGTTGGCACGGTACGTAGGAGTGTTGTGTGGTATAGTGCGATGTAATCCGGTGAACTGTATCAGGCTGCGTAGCATGCAGCCGGCCAAACCATAAGCTCCCGGCCATGGGGCCGATGAGCACGAATGAGAAGATCATGGCGGGCTTGTTCGTTGGCACGGTGCGTATGTGTTCATAGTGGTGCAGTGCTGTGTAGTCAGGTGAAATGCATCAAGGCTGTGGTAGAGGCTGCGTGGCACAGCATGTAGCCGAGGAGACCATTAGGCACTAATTAGAGATAGTCAGGGCGAGAATCAGATCCTGCTTGTGCACTGAGGATCCGTCTCCTCTGTGTGCAAGTTTTCTAGGATTTCTGAACGACCACCTCTCTGGTTCTCCTTCCCAACCCTTGACCCTTTCTCCCTCCTTTTTTTCCCCATCCGCAGGTGGGACTGTGGGTGTGCGGCGGCGTGTTGGGCGTTGACGCGGTAACGGCAGCCATCATGGGGCTCAGCGCGCTGCTGATCACGGGCGTGGTGACGTGGAAGGAGTGCCTGGGCGAGGGCGTGGCGTGGGACACACTCACGTGGTTCGCTGCTCTCATCGCCATGGCCAACTATCTCAACAAATACGGGCTCATTGCTTGGTTCAGCCAGACCGTTGTCAATGTGAGTGGCTACAATGAGAGACAAAAGGAGCTTGTAAGACCAGGTGGGAGGGAGGGAGGGAAGCAAGGCACACTCTTTTGATCGCTTCCCAACCTCCTAGCTCTGCTCACCAAGTTAGCATGAACATCCCTGCTCGGATGGTTGCCATAGTCCCTCCACTCATCATCATTACCCTCCCCCTCTCCCTTCCTCCCACACCCCCCCCCCCCCCAACACACACCCCCACTCTTCAGCTCGTCTCCTCCATGGGTCTCGCCTGGCAGCCAGCCTTTGGCCTGCTCGTCATCCTCTACTTCTACTCAGACTACTTTTTTGTCTCCTTACCCCTTTCCTTTGCCCCACCCCTTGTCCCCAACCAACCCCACCTTCCAGCTCGTCTCCTCCATGGGGCTGGCATGGCAGCCAGCCTTCGGTCTCCTCGTCATCCTCTACTTCTACTCCCACTACTTCTTCGCTTCCGGTGCCGCACACATCGGAGCCATGTTCGTTGCCTTCATCTCCGTCGCCTCTGCTCTCGGCACGCCTCCTCTGCTCGCCGCCATGGTCCTCTCGTTCATGTCGAACCTCATGGGTGGGATCACGCACTATGGGATTGGGTCCGGCCCGCCGTTTTACGGGTCGGGGTATGTGTCGCTCAATGATTGGTGGTTCTACGGGTTTATCTGCAGCATTGTCAATCTGGTGATTTGGCTTGGCGTGGGTGGCCTGTGGTGGAAGTTTCTGGGGATCTGGTAGAGGGAAAGGGGAAGGGGGAAAGCCGGAGGGGACGGGGAAAAGGTATGGCTTATGGGTTATGCATATGACCAGCACAGTTATCACTACAGGGATGTTATTTTGTGACTAAAAGTGGTTAAAACTGTTCTAAGCAATGTTCCGTGCATGCCAATGTATCGAGAACTTACGGTAGGAGTTCATGGTGAGATGAATGGAGGTTCGCAGCACATCAAGTCCACAGCAGCCAGTACGGATTCTTTTTTCTGAATTCTTTACTCAGCACCTGCCTACCTACAGCTTATAACAATCAACAGTGTTCACCATTTTGCTCGTTTATAACACTCATAACTGTGTCAAGAATAAATAAATAAGATCAGCAATAGGCTTTCAGCAAGGCCACAGCCAGAAAATTCTGTAAGGCATGTTACGGTACGAACAAATCAATAAAATTAGCACCTTGCGCAGTATATATGGATGTATACATTGTGCTTACAAGGCCCCGTCAGCCTCCGTTGCAACCCCCATCTGCTCATTCCACTGCGCACGCGGCGGCATTGGCTGGGAGTAGAAATGCTTCGTCTTTCTTGGAGTGCTGCTGCTGGTCGCTCCCTCAGCATCACCACTCCGACTCCCGCTCCCATCCCCACTGCCCTTGACATTCTCCCTGCTGCTACCCCCAAGCAGCTTCGATCGGCGCCCTGAGCCACCTGATTCACTACTTGCTCTTCCACTCACCCTTTCCCCACTCACTCGCTCGCCCTTCACCCTCCCGCTAGACCTGCCTGTACCAGGCCTAGAGCCTCCCCTCGCCCTCCGTCCCCCTTCCGCCTCTGACTCGCTGTCCAAAGCTGCTGCTGCCCCACCCCCGGTGAAACACCCCACTATCGCCCCTCCCTGCATGGCTTTGCGTAGTCGCCTGGTTTCCAGCAGCGAGGGGGAGAGCAGAGAGGAGGAGAGGGAATGATCTGGTGAAAGGCTCCCGTCAACCCTGGCAACAGCAGGGCTTTCGGTATCCCAATCAGTGGCACCAGCAGCAAGCATGGGATCGGAAGAGAAGCTGCTGGGAGGAGGGGTGGAGGGGCGAGGAGGTGTGGCGGGAGGAGCTGTGGTCACTCGCATGGATCTTGACTTGCCAAAGCCCCATCGCTGTGACCCCCAGCCTCGAGAGGACGAGGAGGAGGAGGAGGCGGAGGAGGGGATTGAGGGGATGGAGGAGGGCAGGGAGGAGAGTGCGGAAGAGAGCGCAGAGGAGGTGAAGGAGGAGGAGGAGGAGGAGGAGTGGGGATCGGTTGTGTCTGTGGAAATGAATGAGTCTGTGCTGACTTGCCGGGCGACAGAAGAGGCGGCGGAGGAAGAGCCAGGGACGGACGAGAAGGAGGAGGTAGAGGAAACGGCTGAGGAGGATGGTGGGACGGATTTAGGGTTTGCAGCAGAGCTGCTGCTTGTGTTGCCCTGCCTGCTGCTGCCCCTCCTGCTGCTGCTGCTGCTTCCACTGTTGGTGCTCTTGATGCTGCTGCTCCTCTCCTGATCGCCTCCCCCGAACTCGCCTCGTCTTTGTCTGCCACTACCACTCTTACTGCTCCTGCTGTTCCGTTTCCTCGCTTCCCCTGTGGCCGCCTCTAACTCTGCCCCCCCCTGTGTCTCCCTCTCCTGCTCTCCTTCCCCCTGCCCATCCCCAGTGGCCCCTCTTCCGCCCAATACCTCCCCAGTCGCCTCTCTTGCCCCCCGCCCCTCCCCTCTGGCCTCTCCTTCCCCCAATCCTTCCCCCACGTTCCCCCTTGCCTCCCCCCGCCCCAGTCGGGACGAGCGGGGGGAGTCAGCAGGGGAGGGGGTACCAGCGGGGGAGAGGAACGGGAGGCCCTGAGGGGAGAAGCACCCAGAGGCTTGCCCGGGGGAGCCGCGACTAGGGGAGGCTCGACTGGGGGAGGCGTCACTTGGGGAGAGTCGGCCAGGGGAGGGGCGACCAGGAGAGGAGGAAGCACAGGAAGCAACCACGAGCCTGTCTGCCTGTGGGCTGCAGCTCTGGCTCTTACACACCCCGCCGCCGCTGTTTCGCATGCTCTCTTTCCCTCTCTGCCCTCCGCCCCCCTGCTGCTGCAGGAAGGAGCTGTCTGATCGAGAGGAGGGGATGCGCGGTCGGGAGTAGGTGGCGGGAGGGGGAGGCGTGGGGAGACGAGAGGGGGAGGAGGAGGAGGAACCACAAGGACCAACACCACCAACACCAGCAGCAGCAGCAGCAGCAGCAGCAGCAGCAGGAGGACCAGACGCATCTGTCCCCTTGAACCGGCTACTACTGGGTCTGGATCTCGTGGGGCGGCCAGAGGAGGGCTTGCTGGGGACTCTGGAAGGGGATCCACCGCCGTCACCGCCACTATCTCGTACATCAAGCACCGCTGCTGCTGCTGTTTCAGCAGTAGGCGCCGTGTGGGCTCGTGGAAGCTCCTTCTCCTGCAGCTTGCTTCTGCCTCTCACTTTACCACTACCACTGCCACTACCGCTGCCACTACCACTGCCACTACCGCTGCTGCTGGACCTTTCGCCCTGGCTGCTCTTCTTAGCCCTACTGCCTCCTGCCCTGCTCTTCCCACCCTTCTCCGCTTCACCCAACTCCTCCCCACTCCCCGCCTTCTCTCCACCCCTCTCCTCCAGGCTCTGACTCTGCTCCTCCCCGTCCCTACCACCCGTCCTCCCCCTCTCCCTCCTCCCAGCACCCCCCTTCCTCTCCACCCCCCCACCTTCAGAGCGAGACACAGGGATGGCAGAGGGCAGGGAAACGGCGCTGGCAGGGGACTCGGGGGGAGTCACGAAGGCAGGGCTGCCTGTGCCGTCACTGCCGCCATTCACACCACCGCCGCCACCAGCACTGCCTGTGCTACTGCTCTTGTGTATATTCATGTTAGTGGCCGTGCTTGTGCCCCTGCTGCCCTCTCCTTCTCCACTGGAGCAAGAAGCAGCAGCAGAACCACTGGCACCAAGTTCGGCAGCAGCAGAGGCAGCAGCAGCAGCGTTGGCAGCGGCAGTGGCAGCAAACGATGTAGAAGAGGCGGAGACAGTAGCAGCAGTGGGCGCGGGCGTGTGTGGTCGATTGCACTGCAAGCCCTTTTCCCGCACAACACTGCCCGAAGCTGCTGAAACTACTGACACTGCTGAAGCTACTGGAGCCGCCTCACCACCCCTCGGCGTTTGCGCGCGTCTAGCCTGGCACGAGTCATCATGCACCTTGGTGACCTCCCCCCCAAACCAGTCCTCGTCCCTCTCATCCATGCCACACGCCTTGCGGAACTGGCGCTCCGCCTCCGCCACCTTCTCTGCCACGAGCTGGGAGTAGTCGAGGGAGGCCGGCACCTGGGTGGACACACAGCCTATAGGGGACTCCACGCCGCAGATGCGGCACAGGCCCAGGAGCACGTCCACTAGAGTGGCGTTCACTGCCTGCAGATTCGCAAAGTAGAACGTCTGGAGGGTAATGGGCGGGGGAAGAGACAGAGGGTCACAGAGGGGATGAGACGTCTCACTCTCACAGCTGTGTGGAGGCACAGCCGATGGGCGACTCCACTCCGCAGATGCGGCACAGGCCCAGGAGGCGCACGTCCACTAGTGTGGCGTTTACCGCCTGCACATTCGTGAAATAGAAGGTCTGGGTGGTGGGAAGGGAGGGAACGGGAGGGAACGGGCGGGATGGGAGGGATGTGAGTGGGGAGGGATGTGAGTGGGGAATGAGGCACTTCTAATTGATCAGCAGCAGCAGCAGCAGCAGCAGCAGCAGCAGCAGCAGCAGCAGCAGCAGCAGCAGCAGCAGCAGCAGCAGCAGCAGCAGCAGCAGCAGCAGCAGCAGCAGCAGCAGCAGCAGCAGCAGCAGCAGCAAAAGCAGCATCAGGGGTGCAAGCAGTGCATATCAGCAGCGAGTGGCGGATCCACCCACCTGCACTTGGAAAACCGTCTCCAAGGAGTCAAGGGAGGCCCCCGGCTGTGCAGCGAGTGCCAGGTGATGGTGTTGCGCGCCATGGTGGGCAGCAGCAGCAGTGCAAGGGAATTCGCGAATCATAGCCATACACCTGGCACACCCAGCCTCGAACCACCCACCTGCACTTGAAACACCGTCTCAGAGGAGTCAAGAGCAGCTCCAGGGGTGTGCAGCGAGTGCCAGGTGATGGTGTTGTGCGCCATGGTGGGCAGCAGCAGCAGCCCGCGCTTGAGATTCGCCTCCACTCGCCCATCCGCCTGGAAGTTGAGTGAATCCTGCAGCTGCACGCGCAGCAGGTACTGTATGTTGCGCGGAAGCATTTCATAGAGCTCGTCCCTGCACCATTAGGGGAGAGAAGGGGGGGGGAAGGGAGTGGGGGACGGCGTGAAGTAGAGAGCGTCCTGCAGCTGCACGCGCAGCAGGTACTGGATGTTACGCGGCAGCATCTCGTACAGCTCGTCCATGCGTGTAGCAGAGGGAGGGGGTTAGGCGAGAGGGAGTTTGGAAGGGGAAATGGGGGAAACAAGGAGGTGAAGTTGAGTGCGCCCTGCAGCTGCACGCGCAGCATCTCGTACAGCTCGTCCCTGCACGCAACGTGGGGAAGAGCGAGGGTAAGGGCGGGCAGAGGGAGTGGGGCAGGAACAAGGAGGGGTTGAAGTTGAGTGCGTCCTGCAGCTGCACACAAGGGCACGTGATGCCAGCATGCCATGCCATACCACGCCATGTCATTCCCTTACCTGGTGGGTCCCAGCACTTCATCCGGTTGCTAGATGATTCGTTCACCACCACGTTGGCATAGTGCAGCGCGAGCTGATAGCACCACCATGCCAACCAACCAAGTCATGGCATGCCATACAGCCCTACCCGGGTATGTCTGAGCCCTATCGCACCTTGTAGGCCCTAGCACTTCGTCCGGCTGTTGTATGATCCGTTCCAGCAGCACCACCACGTTGGCATAGTGCAGCGCGAGGCCCGCCTCCCCCACACACGCCTCCCGGATGCGCGGCGGACACATGCCGTGCCCAAACGCTGCGAAGATCTTCTTGCGCACGTAGCATGCTGCTATGATGAGCAGCTGCCGCATGAGCGCGCGGGGGGGGTGGGAGGAGAGGTGGGGGGGTGAAGGGTGGTGGGGGGGGGGAGAGGGTAGGAGTCAGGTGCGGAGAGGGAGCTTGAGGTGGAAGCGGTTGTAGGGGGGGTCTGACGCTGATCCTGATGCTAATGCTGTAAACGGTGCTTCGAGAGCACCCACCTGCACGAGGAAGTCGAGGTGGTACGCCCAGAGGCAGTGGCCCTGCAGCTTCTCCACCAGCTTGCCCTGCGTCACCATCTCCTGCAGCGAGTTCCACTCCCCGTACTCCTGAATGCTGCCACGCGGGAAATGGGCGGAAAGGGGTGGGTGGGGTGGGGGGGGGAGAATGACAGGCGTGTCAGCAGGCAGCAGCCGCGCTACCAGCTTGCCCTGAGTAACCATCTCCTCAAGGAGTACATGTATTGGGGAAGAAGGGGCAGGGGACAAGGGGTACGGGTGCGGCGGGAATGACACCATCCCCCCGCCACTTCCCCGCCTCCATTTCCCCCGTTCCATTCCATTCACCTCCTCCCTCTCTCCCCCCGCCCCACATCCTTCGTTCCCCCTCCCCCCACCCCTCTTTCTCATGGCGCGCGCTCACCGGCTGTGCAGCTCCTGGATGGACTCCATCTCGCTCTTCAGCTCGCTCGTCGCCTCCGCTTGCTCGCGCATGAACCTGCCGTGCCATACCGTGCCAAACCGTGCCATTCCGTGCCATACCGTGCCACACCATGCCATACCGTGCAGTGCAAACACCGCGCCATGCGTGAAGGAAGAATGGGAAGGGAACGCGAACGCAACTCATGAGAACAAGACTCGCAACACCATCACCTCTCCAATAGAATCATCCACATCACAGCACTCACACTACCCCTGATCAACATTGTATCACCTTAAAAGACACCTCCCCTTCAGCTCACCTAAGAAGCACCTCCCCTTCAGCGGAAGACGCGGCGAACATCTTATAATCGGCATCTGTGCTGTCGAGCCGCGCAAAGAGCCGCTCGAGTCGGTGTAGTCGCGATTCCCGGCACTTGCGACCCAACACCGCGACGCGGCACGCGACGGACCGCAGCTCCTGATGCTTCTCGTACCCCGCGAGGCCCCATAGTACTCTAAGGTCGCTGGAGATTAAAGTTACAACGCCAGGCGCCTGCGCGGAGCGAAGCCACAAGGAAAACTATGAGATTCATGCATACTGAGGCTCGTCGGAAAGAGGAGAGAAGTGAAGGCAGGGAGGAGTAAGGAGACCTGGAGCAGAGACCGTTGACTAACAATAAGAACGCTGACCAAAAGTCGCACGCGAATGGAGCCACGTGTAGCAGCTACGGGAAAAGAGCTGCAAGACCACACTAACGGCGTATACCGAGGTAAACCTTATCGGACCTGAAGGTTGGCGCGCAGCGATGAGAGCATTTTCTCGGACATGGAGTCGCATATTTCGAGCGTGCGACGCATGATGGCTCCTATCTCGAACGCGAGCATTTCCGTCGGAACCTCCTTCCCCGTTCCCCCCCTCCCATCGACAAGCGGCTCCACCGACGTGTCGCCATAGAACGACCGGTTAACGATCTTCTTAAGCGTCGACTCGCCTAGCGCTGCAATCGACGGCGATCCGAGTCGAATAGGGGAGTCTGGTCGCTGATCCCCTGCGGCAGAGTATTTTCCGCTAAGCGGGGACTTGTCTCCGCTGTTTTCATGATCCCCCTTTCCCCTTCTCTTGAAGCTGGTGCTATGGGTAAAGACCCTGTTAATCGTCTGAAGCATGACTGCAAGGGTTATGAGCTGCGAGAATGTTTACCAAACATTTCTCAAAGAGAAAGCAAAAGTGAAGGCAGCGGCAGTTGGCCCTAAGGTTAGCAGACGACAGGGGCCGTTGTGCTTCAACACTGAAAGGTCGCGTAGAACAGCATGACTAATGGAAACCCTAATGGATGATGAGTCTGGCAGCCTTGCACAATCTCCCTGTTCCCAATCACACAACTCTACTAAGCTGCTGTGTGGGGTTCCTCCAGAATTTCTCCCGCGTTTTCTCAACCTGACCACCACCAACACAGGCAGGGAAGAGGCGCCGGTGAGAGCGTAATCTGGCCTGGAATTGGTCAAAACGGGTCATGTTGTGCTGGCTTGGCGGTTGTGGGGATGTTCACATTTCGTTGCAACGAGATCAACTCAGGGGACGAAACCCTGACTTGGATGTCGAGTGGGGTGTCCGGGTTTCAATTTAGGAAGAAAAACTGAATGAGCCCCACCTATTTCAATCTGCCGAAGCGCAGGGCAGATTTCACCCCTGCCATTGCCGAACTTTTGTCCGCCCTGCTTCACCTGGGCTTTGCCCAACGACCTTGACTGGAGCCGTCCAAAAATGTTGCTCACAGTTGAAATGCACGACGACTCGACAATTTGCTCAACAATAGGACAAACAATAGTGATAGTGTACAACCAATATGCATTCTTGTACTAATCCTAAGAGGATATGTAGTTACTTGCAATCTAGAAGACAGTTGTGATTAGACCAGCACTAGATTGTGATCTGTCAATGTTTACATGCTAGAGTTATCCCTGCATACTACCATTCAGTTTTTAAGAGAATTAACCTCTCTGGCCACTTTTATCATATTCCAAACCTTGCTCCCATCCCATTCCAACCCTCAGCCATCATACGTGCATCCACCATGTACGAGGCCTCCACCCAGAGAACCCCACCCTCCACCTGTGCGTCTTCCCTCTCCCTGTCCACCAAATCAATGTCGATTCCCTCATGGAAGGCGCCGCACGGAGTAAAATGTCACGGGCTTGAGCCAGTTGTAACGCCACCCCAATGAGCGCCTTCAAATACCCCAACGGCCGAAAACGTTGTGTCATCCTCCCGACATGCCCCCCCGTGACACAGCTAGCCCAAGTGCGCATCCTCCTTCTGCCGAAGCCATCGGCAAAAACGACAGCCCAGACACCCCCACGTCTCTACTATCAGAGGGGTGATCTGCACGCCCCGGTTGCGTGCAAGCAGAGGTGCGCAATCACTCGTTTTGCGACGCTCCCACTACCTTGCCGCCACTGCTATGGAACGCCCGCACTGCCCTAGCAGAGATAGAGATGTGATAGCGGGTCCGCGACGCTGATCTCTAGAGCGTGAGCATCTCCGACCATTGGTCGTCGCACCGATACGTCAACCCGCTTCCCCGGCAGCACCAGACTATCCTCCATTGTCACCACCCCCCTTGACGCCTTCTCGCCACCGCAAACTTCACCTCGTCATGCACATGAGATGAACCGTGCCGATGCTTGCATCGCAGAGCATGATGCGGGTTCACTGGGTCAGCATACGCTGTGCCACAAACGCACCGCACCGCAGCTGCTGTATTGGGAGCCCGAGCTGTATAGAATGAGCAATGCCCTAGTCGACCACGGTGAACGTGAGATCTGAGTGAGCCGGGACTGCCAAACTCCATGCCCCAGCCTCCGGGCCCTGAAGGGATTTGAAACGGGCCAGGGTGGCATCGTCACGGGCCAAGCGACGCAGTCCCCAGAGCTCCTCTGTAACCAATTGCCGCTGCCGTGCCTGGAAAAGCCAAAGAGGAGGGCCGCTATGCACAGAGGTAAGCCCGGCGTATAGTTGCAGGCAGCTACTCAAGAGCCTTAGCAAACCATGGATCAAGAAACTCTGCCCCTGCCGAAATGCTGAGGCACTCTGCAAACATCGCTTCCTCGCCCGCCAACTCTGGCTGTGCAATATCGCACGTGGCCTGTGTACCCACAAACATAGGACAGTGTGTGAGAATGAACGAGAATGAATGCAGTATGAAAGAGTTGGGTACAAGTACTAACCCTAATTGGGTTATACCCCATATAGGCTACCCCACTACAACCTACACAAAAGCATAAGCTATAATGTTCTGACACACCCTCATAGGCAAAGTGGGGGAGTACAAGGGGTCACAAGACCAGTCAAGCAAAGCAAAGCAAAGCAAGCTCAGGGTGGATCACAAAGTCACCACACATTCCGAGCACAAGGTCAAGGCCACAAGGCCATTTCACATGCAGGAGTACATATATATATAAAAGTCTAGACAAGCAAGAGCAGGTGTATATATATATGTAACAGTACAAGCAAGGTCAAGAGGTGAGCAAGTGAGGCAAGACAGGCACAAGACCCAGCTGAGTACAGAAGCGCTGATGATCACAAGGCGCAAGCGCCTTGGTGAAGATATCAGCAGTGTTGGCCTCAGAGGCCACGTACGCAAGACGCAGCTGACCACACTGCTGCAACTCACGAGCAAGGAAGTAGCGGAGAGCAATGTGCTTCGTTCTGTGCTCCAGTCTCTGCTCTCGACACAAGGCCAGCACGGCCTTGTTGTCTACGTACAGCACTGGAGAGGAACGAGGCGGCTCTCCGAGGTCAGTCAGCAGGTAGGTGAGCCAGCGAAGCTCCTGTGCAGCCATGGCCCCGGCGTAGATCTCAGCCTGACAGCTGGAGCCGAGAACAGAAGACGAGCGGGTAGCCCGCCACGAAACAGAGCCGGAACCAAGGCTGAAGGTGTAACCCTGTGACGACCGCTGCGTAGCCTGGTCGTCAGCCCAAGAAGCGTCTGCGTGCCCAGTGAGGACCACTGGACTCTGCCCTCCAAGCACAAGCCTCATGCCTGATGTACTGCACAAGTAGCGCAACACCCTCTTCGCTGCAGCCATGTGCTCCGATCTATGTCTCCTAGGAGCAACATAGCGTGCCAGAATGCTAAGAGGGTATGCAAGGTCAGGTCGAGTGCAGGTCATCAGGTACATGAGGCAGCCAACAAGCTCTGGGTACGGGCCACTCGACTCTACGGACTCATTCGAAGGCAGAGCTGAGAGCGAGTGGCGAGTAGACAGAGGAGTGGCCTAAGGCGAAGAGTACGTGAAGCCGAAGCGCTGAAGGACCTGCTGCACCATGTGTGACTGAGTCACGGTAATGGTGCGGCGTGCTCTGTCCCGGGTGATCTGCAAGCCAAGGTAGCTACGCAGTTCACCCAGGTCTGTGCACGTGTGTCTCTTCTGCAGCTCGGACTTCACGTGGGCGAGTCCAGCAGTGTCAGCTGTGGCAAAGACCAAGTTGTCGACGTCCACGAGGATGTAGAACGGCGGCAAAGAAGTGTCGATGCGCAGAAACAGCGACGGGTCGGCAGTAGAGGGAGCAAACCCAAGAGCCGCAAGTGTAGTCCTCAATGTGTCGTGCCACTCACGCGCTGCCTGGCGGAGAGCGTAGACTGGCCGCCAGAGGCTCCACTAGGTGCCAGGAGGAAAAGACCCAGTGAAGCCAGGTGGGCAGCGCAGGCAGATCTCCTCGTGCAGGCTGCCCTGCAGGAAAGCTGTGCTGAAGTCAAGAGAGTGAAGCTCGTAGTCACGGTGAGCAGCTATGTGCAGCAGTACCCGAAGAGTGGTCATCTTCGGGGTGGGAGAGAAGGTCTGAAAGTAGTCAACTCCCTGCCTCTGACTGAAGCCACGAGCCACGTAACGCGCCTTGAAGACAGGCGGAGAACTCGGCGGCCGCTTCACCCTGAAAATCCACATGCCACTGACGATGTTCGCCCCGGGTGGGGGAACCTCGTCAACGTAGGTGCTTGTGGACTTCCAGGAAGCCATCTCTGCGTCCATAGCTGCCTGCCACTGAGAGGAGTAGGGACCCTCTATCGCCTCCGCGTAAGAGCGCGGAGTCGGGATGTCAAGTGCATCCGGGTCTCCCCCAGGGGTAAGCAGTACGGACACGAGATGAGGTGAAGCAGCAGCCAGACACTGGAACTCCTCCTTCCTGTCCGCAAGGACGTCCGTGCCAAGGGCACACTCACCCCCGACAGACGGAGGATAGACAGACTCAGACTCAGCAACAAGACTGGCGGCGTAGTCTAGGCGACAGCGAGCAGCAAAGTCGACGAGCTCAGCAACTAGGGCAGACGCAGCAGTGGACTCAAAGGAAGGGTCAGCGACAACAGTAGCAAGGAGACGCGTGACAGTAGGACTGGCAGCACGAAGAGAGTCCGATTCCGGGTTCGGAAGAGCAGGAAGAGAAGACTCAGGAGGAGAAGGTTAAGGGGCACGCAGAGGAGCAGTGGACGGACGCAGAGACATCCGGTGCGTGCCAGGGACAGGAGGAGGACGCTGACGCGAACCGCGACCACTAGTGCGAGCAGCACGGACAGGCGACGCAGGGCGAGACGCTGGCTCACGACGCTCAGCAAGACCTCCAGTAGGACCAGTGTAGGGAGACGGAGCAGGCAGTGGGGAGGCCGGCTGTAAGTGTAACTGTGACGGGACAGGCTGTGGACACTCAAAGGGAGGAGGAGGACCAGTAGAAGGCGGGAGACCAAGAACCTGCTGAAGGAGCGGAACGAAGTACGGCCGAGGCCGCGCGGCGACTCTAGACACAGCAGGGACAGCACCAGTACCCCCAGCGGCAGCAGCAGCACCAGCAACACCTCCAGCTCCAGTACCTCCAGCAGCACCAGTAGCACCCCCAGCAGGACTGCCTCCAGGACCGACAGCAGTAGCCACCGCGTCAACACCCGCAGCAGCTCCAACTCCAGAAGTACCCGCAGGCCCAGCAGCTCCAGTACTCCCAGTACGAGCACCACCGGGACCCGCGGCACCAGCACCCTCAGCAGCAGCAGAACCTCCAGTACCCGCAGCACCTCTAGCTCCAGCAGCTCGCCTCCAGCGCCGGGCAAACCACTCACGCAGCTCCTGTGGAGAGAGTGGCTCCCGGCGAGATGAAGCACCCGGAGAACCGCCAGGCA